GGGAACGTTGGAAGCAATGTCTGACGCGTCTGCCTCCGCGACCCGAAAGGAGAAGCGGCGATGGAAGATGGAGATGACCCTTATCGATTTAGTGATAAAGAACATGCCCTCAGAAAAGAATTCGTCCTTAACAGTTTTTATCTTCATCACTGCAACAGGTTTCTCCAGCGCATCCTGTCGTCACCGAACTGGAAGTGTTCCGACGAGCCGTTTACTTTTTAGAACCCTGTCTAATGGGATTAAATGGCTTTTTGCAAACATATCCTGCCGATTATCAATTCAGCTAAGTGGCTGTTTGCATGAGAGTGAAACTCCCGTTTGTGATCGTGCCTGTTGAATCGTCTTCTTATTGCTTCATTTCTATTCCCGGTATACACTTCTGCCGTGTCGGGTAGTCTGTAGCTTGTGCACTGCATTCAACCACGTTTCGTTTCACGCACAGGGACATTTTGTAAACTAGAATATTTTCAATGTTCAAAAATGCTCTATGACATTTTTGCTGTACTTTTAGTTGTCCATTGGTTAGACCAACTGCCCCCATAAAGTTCAACCGGTAGTCTTGACTTCAGTCGTATTCAAGTTTTTTTCCAACCTACATTGATGTTGGCATCGTTCACCTAATGAATTTATCGCAAATTGCTGGCAGCTTTAACGACATCCACGTATCTCACTTCAAATCCCTATTTCTCAATTCATACTGTTGAAAATCTTTCAGAACTGGAGTAGATAACTTCGGTAATATTGCATCACTCCACTAGACAAAGCTCTTGACTTTGTATTAGTCGGTATTTTCAAGAAGTTCCAGAGGTGATCATTGCCATTTGTCAACGCTTGATTACCCCTACCTCGCTTGCCGATCATTTTAGAACTCGTTAAGGCACAGTTTTGTATTAAGGCATTGTTAAAGAAAATTTTCTGTCCAAATGATTCTTACGCCGGTTGCTGCAGCCTTAGCGCGACGAGAATCTTGAGACTGGATTTGCTGAGAGCACAACGACGTAAATATAACAGTATTTTGATCATGTTATGAAAGGGAACAACTGCAATGAAGATATCGTATTACCAATTTGTGTGTTGTCAAGTTCATGGGCGATATAATCTGTCCTTACGGTACCTGCAAATCGATCAGAATGAAAATGCTGGATATGTAAATTTTGCATAATTTGGACAATAATCAGATAATTGCGCCAATCCATTATATTGTCTCTACATGGGTCGTGGGCCATAGCCGAACAAGCGGCTGAAATTTGCCTCCTGAGACGAATCGGGGGCCTCATGCGTCTCGACATGGTTCGGAGTACAAAAATCCAAGAAAGCCAGTCGCTGATTCTTCGAACTGAGAATTCGCAGCTGCGATGACATTGGGGCGAATTCCTCCAGAAAAGAAGGCGAAGCCACTACTACTTGCCCAGTCGAATGGCAAAAAACCCAGGGCACAGCAAAGATTAATCTGGGTCAAGCGTACTGAAGGAGACGCTAGACCCCGGTTGTCTTCAGCCAAAGATCGGAGGCTGGCACAGAATCGGGAACACTGCCTGTCGTCTGTGAACAAGTCACAGGAAATGAACGAATAAATGAATATAAATAAGCAAACGTGTATTTGGTCACTTAGCCGTTCCACAAATTACAAAGTCGAATTAAAGTAGTGGGTTAAACAAGATTTGAAAACAGTTGAAACCAAAATTAATGATTTAAAGTGCGGATGAAATGTTAAAGTTGTTTTAAACTTGGGTATCTGTTTAACTGAGCAACGGCAGTCAACGTTCGAACTTGCAGCATCGTCGTTTTCAGTCATCACTGTACCAACATGACTTCTCTGTACATCATTCTTGCCCTAATCGCAATGGCCGTCGGAATATGGATCGGAATGAAAATGCCATGGTCTGAAAAAACGGCTTCGGAAATCAATCATGCTAGCAAACCGAAAATTAAGCACAACGGCAAACCTGGTGTTGCCAGTCATCCGAAAGAAGAAGTCAGAAAAAAGAAGGAACATATGCACAACTCCAGCAAATCCTCAACGTCTCCATCTGCGAAATTAAGTTTATTGAAGAAAAAAATACCCCATCCCAAGAAACATGGTTCTAAGACTGGAGCTAAAGACAAAACGGTGAAAACTAGCGATAAAACATAACTAGCTGCACCGTTTATCACAGGTCGCTTGTAACTGCAATGATTTGCTATCTCTACTAGACGCCTCAACGAAATAAACGG